AGGATTGATTATTCATGGGGTTTAACTAGTTATTCCATCGTCATTTCATTGTTTCTAGCTGTTGATTGCTTTTATAAATTAGGCAGTATTTTCTGATAGGCTACTCAAAATAGTCAGTCTATTACCTTTTTACTCAAATTTCCAAAAGATTCCGAAAATTCATTGAGTTATCAGTTCTAATTGTTAGTATTAGCCTAAGGCTTACAATTCTTAGAGTTGAAAATCAACGCCGTTGGATGCCGGCCTAGTACTCGAGAAATTAGGTGTCTGTGCTCAAGACGGAAGGTCGTGGGTTCGTAATACTGTGAGTAGCAGGATTCATGGATGCCTGCTACTGGTGAAAACCATAGTTTGACAAAACGGTTTTCCAGTGCTTCCAGGTTTCTAAGAGTGGTCTAACAATCATTCAGTCATGATTCCAGTAAAATATTATTAATATTTCTGGCTCATTTTACGATCGTTAATTGTTGATACTGATAAGCTTCATTTCATAACTGCTTTCAATAACCCCAGACTAAATCTAGACAGCATTTTGTGTGCGAGAGGAAGGACATGAAGCACAATAAAGAGTGTTCTACTTCAAGGTTAGTTTGTTGACGGAAAATTAAGGGTATCGGTGTAGAGTTGCAAATGAATTTCAGATTCTGGCAAGTTTTATGAACCATACCAAATCGAGTGGCGGTATGGCTAAATGTCCGATCCGGATCATAGCACATGCTTCTAAAGTTTATCAGTGTTTCGGCAAAAGTTCTATTCAGTACTGATTAAATAAACATTCCCTGGCATTTTTGGGCTTCTAGAGACTTTTCAAAAGGCATAATTCATAACTTCCCATTAGATGCATTGATTAACGATTAACATTTCGAATTTATTCGAATTCAACATTGACTGTTCAATGTCCAATCGCTACTGCTACAAGAAATATTTTACTGGTTAGATGAATGATATTTGAGGTTGTAAACGTTTATTACATTTGTCAACTTTCATATTCAGCATAAAACGATGAAACTCGTGTTCATTTTGCGCTGTTTACGTTAAATTCTCTGGTTCCTTGTCATAAATCAAGTGTTATTCATGTTTTATAGTAGAACACTAGAAAAAAATCTTATTAAATCAATGTTTAGAAGCAAAAGTATGGACGAAACAATTACTTGCTCGATATATATTGATATAAACAAAATAGTAAGTTAAGTACTTAAATTTAATTAAACTCGGAATTTTTTTCAGAAGCTATAAATTAAAGTTTGAAAAGGTCTTAGATAACCGAAAGGTAGGTGGTATTTCCGGTGAATAAAGTCATGCCACCTTTATACGGAAGAAAGAAGGGATTAAGAAAGTTATCTTTAAACATACTACAGTGCACCACAGTTCATACATTTCCGTTTCTGATAGCAAAATTATAAACTTTGTAGTTCAGGTAGATACTTGTGGTGGAGTTCGCTCTCTCGATCAAAAAGTTAGACCACCATCGAAAAACCTGGAATCACTGGCGGCCGTTTCACCCTGGTATAAGACTCATCAGCAGTGTGCATACACGACTTCTGCTACTCACTATTCACAAATAATCATGTGCTCACTTGTGACTAGATCCGTGGAGAAGTTTCTCCGAGGTCTAATGTGAAATTGTGACCAGTGGAGTTCAGCTTTGTTCGAGCGTGAAGTTGTGCTAGCTAAAGACAGAGGATTAGGTTGACCGAAGTTAGAAATTACCACATATAGATACCATCTCCATGATCTAGGGATCTAGGGTCCGAATCCTGTAAGTAGTGGGAGTGGAGTGGATATGTACTGCTGATGAGTCCCATACCAGGACGAAACGACCATCCACTGCTTTCATGTTTCTAATAGTGATCTAACTATGATTGATTCATGATCTCACACAGTAATCAGTTATATGACAAATTCTGCGTAATTTACCAAAAATACTTATTGGCCACTTTAGCTTACATGACAATTAAATCAAAGAAACTCAGACTGATATGTTTTAGTCATCCAAGTAATTTTATGGGTTCTATCAACATGTAACTTTGTCTTAGTCATTTAAACTAAAGATTCTTAAGTGTTTAAGGAATTGTTGTGATTATTTTCACCGAGGTCACCGTCACTATACTCTGGTCGGTCTCATGTTCTCCAGTTATATCGTAAAGAATACATCACATTCAATAAAAAATCTGTCTTTCTTTTTATCCAAACTCCCCAACTTTTGCTTGCTTCACTTTCTTTTAAATGAAAAAAAATCAGAATAATCTACCCTCATTTTTAGTTTAACTGTTAAACAGTAAGCTTAAATGTTGTGTCATATCACAAGTATATATTTCAACCTCAATACATTGTTAGCATAGAGTTGTGCAAGATGATTGAGTTCGATTGAAATGTCAGATCATTATTGGAAGCCTGGAATTCTGTCGTGACAGATTCAAGGCCCTTACCAACCGAAGGTTATGCAGATTGAATAAAATTAGACTTTAATGTCGTTAGCTAATGAATGACTCAGTAGTTGAGAGAGACGGCAACTTGAACCGATGTAAGAATGTACGTTCGTACGAAGTTCTACGGTGTAACTGAATAACTGACTGGGAAAAAATTTCACTTATCCCCAGCATAATTACTGTACTTACATCTTAAGTTTCAATGAAAAATTATCTTACGTAAAATCACTCAAGCTCTGCTTTATAGTACAACTTACTAACTACAAGCCAATAGTCCGAAATAATTTCAGTTACGTAAAAATGTTACTATCCAATTATCTATTGTTTATCTAACCGTACCACTAATAATAATAATAATACTAAGCCACCATCTGTTGATCGTTTCGCCTAACACAATCCAGTAAATCATTGTTAATTATACTTTTGTCGACTTCCGCGCAAAGTCAACACGAATACTAATGTGTCTCTAGTCGTTTTATGATACTTTTAACAGTGACAGATGGCGTCTGTCAATTTATTTTTTTTTTTTTGACAAAGTTTAATATATTTTCGGTCAATTTTTTACTTATGAAAACAATGATTTTTTTAAAAAATATTTCGTCTCTTTTTGATAAACCATGATAAGGCAATAAGAAGATAGTAGGTATATTAACGTTATGTGATTTCGACAGACTTTGAATAACATGGCTTAAAATTGGCGCAGGTGTATCTACTCTTTGTGTTGTTGTCTCAAATTCAAATCTTCTGAATTCCTCATCACCTTGATCTTTCTCTTTTGAAATTTATTTCACTGGATGATATTTCTTGAATCATATGATATCCTATCTAGTACTATGATATTTTAACTAATGATTTCGTCTCGCAGATGGTACAGAACACTTCTAGCGCGGGTGGATGTTTATGGTCGGGTTTCACTCTCCAAGCTGGATGTTTTAGTTGTGAAGCTTGCATTATTTTGTTCTGAACGACATCATAAAGACAAACTACAGATAGAAATTCAAATACTTAACTTCTACCTGAAGTTTGTGCTCATGTTATCTAGATTGGAATACGGAAATCCATCTTAATTTCATCCCTCTGTGCTGATGTTTTCCCCCTCCAAGTGCAAAATGTTGCTTCAGGATTGGGTTGCATCGGTACCTGAACTAGTGATGGGGAGTGAAGTAGTCGAGCGTATTGACCGATTCATCTCATCAGTGCCGAAATCTCAGCATGGATACAGAAGGCTCGATTGGCTTTTGCCAAACTGCGTCACTTATGGCGTAGGCGAGATATCCGTTTGCTGACAAAAGGACGAGTGTACTGTGCAGTGGTTCGCTTCGTCTTACTTTATGGCTGTGAAACATGACCAGTCAGAGTAGAAGATATTCGTAGGTTACTGGTTTTCGATCATAGGTGTCTTCGAAGCATTGCTCGTACATCCTGGGACACCCGAGTGAGCAACGCTGTTATTAGGACACGGGTGCTAGGTAAGAATGGCAGTTCAATAGATGAAGTATTGAAACTTCATCAGTTGAGGTGGTTGGGACATGTGTTGCGTATGCCAAACGACCGACTGCCTCGATGAGCTTTGTTTCACAGTGTAGGAATAGGTTGGAAGAAAGTTTGGGGCGGCCGAACCAAAACATGGCGCCGGCGCATTTATTCTTTGTGTTCTCTCAAATCCTAATCTTCTGGATTCTTCAACACCTCTAGTTTTGACTTTCTAAACTTTTCTCATTGAATCATATTTCTTGAATAATATCTTCTTATCCTAACCTATCCGATAACTTCTAATACCTTTACTACTACTATTATTGCTATCATTGTTGGATTTGAATTGACAATTACATCTCTGTGCTGATATGGTAAGGCAACATGAACTGATGTTGCATCTGACTAACTGACTGACCCTTTGTGCTAATACGGTATGTTAACTTGGATTGAGTAAGTATATACCAAGTTGTATGTTACATCTGACTAATTGAATGAATACATTTCAAACAATCTGATCAGATATAAACTTTTGAAGAATATCAGTCAGAAAAATTAGATCATGGAGACAAATACTGTAAAGTACACAATATGAAAAGCATTCTGGATATTACATAGGCAAGCTAAGTGTTAGAACAAACTGTTTTTGAACATATCAAAAGGTGTTCCAATTTTCAACGAACTTAGGATTCGATAAACTTTAGTATCAGCCTTATGACCAACCACAAACAAATGTGTCGCAACGCAGAAGTTCACTCAGCGTCAGGGTATGAGACAGTTATCCACCGCAGATAATTGGTGAGGCATGAGCAACATTATGCACTGACTGAAGTTGGACATTAAGAACTTTGAGATGTCAGTTCAGTGGTTTAGAGATTAGGCGTCCATATACGAGACCGTCGGTCCTAAGATCCATCCCCTCCCTCTGGGTTGGGGATATGCACTACTGAGATAAATGACTTTCAGAAGCTGCTAGGTTTCCAGTAGCAGTCTAAATAACATCACCTCAATGAAAATAATACACTCTTCACAAGCCATCTTCACTCATCACAAATCACCACTGATTGATTTCCTCTGTTTTTATTGATTTGCCCACAGGCTCGTGTTGAACTCGTTCTAATATTCGTTAAAGTTGGTCAAGTTGACACAGTCAATGAACGATATCAAGCAGATATATTCCTTCAAGCAAGATGGCGTGAACCATTGTTGGATGCAATGTGGAATAAATCAAGTTTAAAATCAAAAAGTAGCTGGCAATTACAACCTTCCATTGAAAATCCATTCACTGATTTAACATCAAAACGACAATTGAATACGGTAATTTTATTTTATTATTACTGATATTTTTACACATTTGAAATCATCAATCAGTCATTGTTAGACCATACCATTAGAAACCTGGAAGCACTGGAGGGCCGTTTCGTCCTGGTATGGGATTACTCATCAGTAACAGTGCGCACCTACGACTCCTGCACCTCGCAGGATTCGAACCGGGGACCTTCGATACTGTGCGCGAACGCCTAAACATCGGACCACTGGGCCGGCACCCAGCGGTTTTAATGTCTAACTTCGATCTCACCCATTTGTCTTTGGTAGTTACTGACTACACCCGACAGGGTTGAACTCCATCGGTCACGTCTTCTGAACTAGAACTCCGAGAATTTCCTCACGAAGCTAGTTACTAGTGAGCAATGTTACGATATTTTCGGGCAGAGTTATCGGAGGTTTGTGTTTTTACACATTTGAAATCATCAATCAATCATTGTTAGACCACCATTAGAAACCTGGAAGCACTAGACGGCCGTTTCGTCCGGGGATGGGACTCATCAGCAGTTCTTGTGAGATGTGACTGGTAGAGTCCAAACCTGTCGGGTGTAACTATAATGGGTGAGGTTGTGCGAAATTCTTAGATCAGTCTGAGTTAGTTGGATACTGGCTAAGTGGTTCGAAGGTTTGGTCGTTCGCACGCATCACTAAAGGTCCTACGGCCGAATCCTTAGGGTGGTAGGAGTCATGGATACGAACTGCCGATGAATCCCATATTAGTGATTTCAAGTTTCTAATGATAGTTTAAAAATAGTTCATTTATGATTTCAAGGTTAAACGTGAAACAATTAAACTGTTGTTGTCAAATGTTGTCAAATCATCTTGAGATTTCAAGGAGATTCAGTTTACAATGTAGTTTAAGTGAGTTAAAGATTTCACGTCAATTACAACCAGTGAAGTCTATTAACATTGACTAATTGCTAGATTTAACCTGATATCATATATATATTCTCGAAATATCTAACTGCAGTCTATCCACTAAATACAATATAACCACTTACTTGTTGAAAGAGACCACATGTACTGATGAAGAGGGTTTAGGAGAAGACTAGAAGAGACTTCAGACATCAGTTTTGTGCTGGTTAACACATAGTCATCAAAGGGAACCTTTACTCTTGAATAAACTAATGATTCCTATAAGATTCAAATACGTATCATCTTGATTCAGCCACTTTTTGGGATTGAGACTTCCACGCTGATTGATTACTCGGTAATGATTAATGTCAAGTTGTTCTAGTTCTTTAGTACTGATGTATTTTTATCTTTCAATTGGCAGTGCGTTCACTAAGTCTATATTACAGCTCAATAACTATTTGTACCTAGTACCAGGTTTCCCTTTAAGCGTTCATTTGACTCATTTGACCTAACTTACTCTGTCCTGAGCCTTTCTTTTCCAGTTCTATCTCACTGCTATTCATTCATTTTCATATCTGCTTCGATTTCCGGGCGTATTATTTTCTGAGATCTTTTTATTTCCCTATGGCCGTGAATATTTCAAATGAGAGTTTGTCTTGTAAAGCAGTTGCGTGCTTTCTTCATTGTGTATCCTATCCATCTTCAGTGCGTCTTTCTGATTTCTTCCTGTAGTCGTCCTTATTCACAGCCATTTTTGATTTGCTCATGGTCAATTGTTATTTTTTACTTATGTTGTGCTGTGATCTAATCTGTTTGTATTATGTTCGTCACTGTGTACGCTTGAAGCTATTACAAGTTCACCTTAGTCGATAAACGCGAACGAGACAATCAACCAGCGTCCAGATAGGCTACCTTGAATCCGAAGCTGTAAAACAGAAGTCTTTGTAAGCGTAGAAAGTATATTCTACAAACAACCAGCAATCACAATACAATCAAGCAAACAACTCTCGTTTATTTATACATCATAGAAACGTCCTTGGGACAGTCACAAAAATAGCACACTAAAATACACAGCAGCCAATCACAGCCATGGATTTTCCTGGTGGGAAATGAAATCTCAAAGTCAACTGATCAGCCTATGCTGGCAAACGTGAAATCCAAAATTAAGGCATTTATCAAGCGAGTTTTGGGGATCTAACATCCCCAACAGTTTGTACATAAATTAAGTCTATTTTAAATGTTAATATAGTAGAGGCTAGTTGCTGACTTCTGAAATCAAGGGCAAATCAAAAATGTCCCATCGTTAGCTAATCGGGATTCAAATTCTGACGAAAGTCAACAATGGTTCGAGAGCTTGAACTACATGGCTCAGAATCTTTTGCAATGGCGCAGGTGCATCCAGTCTTTGTGTGCTTTTTAATTCTAACCTTCTGAATTCCTCATGATCTCTATCTTTCTCATTCTAAATTTATCTCACTGAATCAAACTTCTCTTGAATCATATCTTCGCTACCCAATCTTCTCCATTACTGCTAATAATTATATCATAGCTATCGCTCTTGGATTTGAACTGACAGTTACGTCTCTGTGCTGATGTCCGATGGTAACCTGATTTAATGTACTTATGTACGAATTTCTGAGTTGTATCTGTCTGTCTGTCTGTCAAATTCTGACTTAAGGTTAGTATTATGAAGTAGTCGTGTAATCAGAGAAATAACCTTCCCAAACACCTATTATTAGTTCAAACTATTTATTAACGACTCATTTATCCACATTTTACATTTCAATCTTGTTCTTTCACGAATAAATAATGACTGTCAGTCGATTTTCAACGGTATCCTTTTGTTTTATTGAAATTGTGAATCGATCATTGTTAGACCACCATTCGAAACCTGGAAACAAGGGACAGCCATTCCATCTTAGTACGAAATTCCTCAACACTGCACAAGCGCGACTTCCACTTGCGGGAATCGAACGTATGACCTTCGATCTGCCGTGTGAATACTAGGCCTCCATACTACTGAGGCTGCATCCAATGGTGTTGGTGTTTAACTGTGATCAATCCACCGTATTGCATGTCTTCTTTCATTCAACAGGGTAAAACTCCACCGGTCAAGGTTTCTCACCAGAACTCCGAAAATTTCCGCACAACGTTAGTATATAGTGAGCACAAACCTTCGATTGCTTAAAGTTAGACATTTACGCCGTTGCATGCCAGCTCACTGATCTAAATGTTAAGTGTTCGCCTACCAGATTAAAGGTCCAAGGTTCGATTCTCGTGAGTGGAGGTCGTGCAAGTGCGCTACCCAGGAGCCTCAGACTAAGAAGAAACAGCCATTCAGTTCTTCCAGGTTTCTAAAGGTGGTCTAACAATGATCGATTCACGATTTCAATGAAACTCAAAAGTCCACAGCTCTATCATGAAAATCATATTTTTTTCACAATTCTGAGTTGTCTAAAACGTATGACTCTATGATTTCTGACGGAAAATTTGCTACATATTAATAGGAAACGGTTAAACAGTTTTTTGAACGTCATTACAAGATAAAAAACAGTTTTGTCACTGAATAATACCAAGTAGGTTGAAGTCCTGCATACAGCTTGAATCCCATCATTCGTGACTTAATCTTGGAGTATTCAAGCACACAATTGAGGAATAAACACTTGTCTAGGTTTTTATATAATATCAGTCTAGACAGGAACCAGCTTTTACAGCAAACGAATTATGAATTGGTGTTAAACTACCTGAAAGTACCGGATGACCGTTTCGTCCTAATATGGGTCTCATCAGAACCCACTATCTCCGCCCACGCAGGGATCAAACCCAGAACCTCTGGTTTAGAGCGTTTGAACGCCTAACCTCTAAACCAATTGGATTAACCAAGCAAGATTGTCCTCTCAAATTAAAAATTTTCTCATTGCTAATTCTAGTTTACAACTATTAAATATTCATATCGAGTTTAATGAAAAACACTTTGGGAATAATGAATCTCTCTTCATTTTTTTCTCTTAAATTCAACTGTCAAAAACAGTTATTATCAGAAATTAGTATTTTTATTACGTGTGCTTTTTTTCTCCTCACTTGAAATACTTCTCTTGACAATCAGTTTTTGTAAGGGATTATTTAAAACACCATTCATTGTTTAACAGTTCAATTATTCAATTGAAACTGATCGATTTTTCTTTCAATGAAACCTATAAATGAATTGGAAATAAAAACCAAAAAACAATTATTCGCTATAAGTGGAGAGAGAGATATATTGGCTAGTAATCGATGACAGGCAGAAATTCATTGACGAGTGGACTTAGCCATGTAGGTAGTTGTCGACTACCTGGTTGGGGTCCGCGAGATGATAATAATCGATGGTTAGAGACCGTGACTGACATGGCTCCAAACCGTTTTCAATGGCAACTGTGCGTTTATTCTTTGTGTTCTCGCAAATCCTAATCTTCTCGATTCTCCAACACTTCTAGTTTTGTCTTTCTAAACTTATCTCACTGAATCATACTTCTTGAATAATATCTTCTAATCCTAACCTCTTTGATTACTTCTAATACATTTACTACCTCTTCTACTATTGGCTTTGAATTGACAATTATACCTCTGTGCTGATATGGTAGGGCGACATGAACTGATTTACTTACGTACGAAGTTCTACGTTGCATCTGACTGACTGAATGACTGACAGGATGTATGCATGTTTCGTCTTAATTTTTGGACTTGTCAGATGGATGCATTAGTTAGTATCTCATAGTTTATATTCACTACGTGACTCGAACCCAGTATCGTTCGCTAGACACATAAGCCATTGTGTTTTTTCACACAACTACCAAGTTGAAACAGCTACTGGCTTGTGCATCGGGTTGAAGTTCAATATATATTTGTATGAGTAGTTTGAACATTTTGACCCATATTTAGAAGTGTGGTCCTGTGAAGATTGCCTCACTCGTTAAGTCGAAAACGGGATTAAGTTAGGAGCGAAGGGTACTGAGTTTTAGACATAGAGTGAACATCAAGTTGTGGTTGTGGCAGGTACATAATACATCTGACAATTCCTAAATAGGACGAGAACGGCATCCTCCGAACCATTATCCATCTCGGCTTATAATGCTTATGACCGAATGGCACCATCGACA